TTTAAGAATATAATATTTTAATGAAATAATAAAAAACCACAAAATTAAACAAATACGAATATTAAATCTAAAGAAAGTATTTTCTCCGAAAAAACGGTATAAGAAGTATAAAAAATATGCAATAAGACAAATTAATGATTACCACTAACGAGTGCTATTCTAAGTATTATTCTATAAGTATTATTGATGTAAAATATTACTGAATTTGAAATACAACAAAAATAACTAGTAAATAAATAAAATATATTATATTCGTAATATTTTTTTAAATATTACTGCAATATTGCTAAAGTAATATTGCAAATTAATGTCACTGCAAAGTCTCTGCAACATTGCACTACAATATGCAATCTTGCAATGTTGTAGCAATGTTGCTGCAAGCTTCTGTGCTGTATGGCCATTGCTGAGATTCGAGCCTGAGACTTCTCCCAGGTAGCAGACACGTCAAAATGACATCCAAATCTAAGTAAGTTCAGGATAAAAAATAACCAAGGAATGATCAAAAATATCGTAAGAATATCGTCAAAATGATAGTCTAATGTCACAGATCGATGACGACATTTTAGACAACTTAATGACGTTTTATGACGTCTCTAAACGTCAATAATACGTTTTTAAGACGTTATACAGAAACGTCATTAAGATGTTACAAAAAAAGACGTTTTAAAGACGTCGTTATTTAGTCACTTGACGTTATTCGACCAGTTATGACCAGTTATGACCGGTTTTTTACGTCATTTTGACGTGAGTCTGTTACTTGGGCTGATTCTTGTGTCGTTCACCTTACCTACTGCGTCACTGTCACTTTGATTGAGAGACGCTTTATGTATTTCATCACTTAACAAAGTATTATATATTAGTATTTAAATATTGACAATGTTCTTCGTAAGTATTTTATCACTGGACGAAGTATTACATATCAATATTTAAGTATTGAAATCAATCATAAGGTAGGATTTGTAACATTAAATATTGAAGTACTTGAGTACTAAAAGCTGTATTTGAATCACAGAATATTACTAAATACTGTACTTTTAATACTAAAAATACGTAATTAATCAATGATTCTTAGTATAATATTTCTATAAGGATTATTAAAGTTGGATTAAGAATAATCACTTTTGTATTTATTCACGTAATTACTATTTCGAATATGCGCTATTGGATCTTTTATTCTTTCTTCCGTGTTGACTTCGTCTATAACTTCTTCTAATATCGCGTATCATTGTGATCGTTATAAATTAAAGTTTTTATATCGTCCTCTATATATAATCCTATTTAGAAATTTTATAAACTTTACTAAATTTTGTGAACTTGATATTGTATAAATATTAAGAATAGTTCGTTTTTGCTCTACCATATACCCTTCTGTTTCTGTCATATCGGATTCTGTCATATCATGGATTCGTATAGTTCCATAAATATATTTTGTTTACACGGAATCCAAAGATTCTTTCGCACTTTCTTCATTTTTTTATTTCAATGAGTTACACTCGATTTGTAAATGAGTAATGTTTTGTTTACTCAAATAACTTCGTTCTAATCTCGCTTTTAATTCCACAAATTCCCTAACCTATCGCGTTGGTTCATTTTATTGATTTCATATTATTTTTTTATTGAGTTTTATTTTTTATAAGTTTTTTTATGGAAGTTTCTGTTAGATTTTTATGAAGGAAATTTGTTATTTTCTATGAAGGTTCTTTATTAGATTTTTGTTAAAATTGTTATTTTCTATGAGGGTTCTTTATTAGATTTTTGTTAAGATTATTTTTGCACCGATTTTTTATAAGACGGACTTTATACATGTTTTGTTAGGATTTTTATTAAATTAAATGTATTATAATGAGTTTTTAGATACACTTACTTGCAAAATAGCATGCACACATTTTTCCCAATAAAGTTACAGCGCTCCAATTTGCTACAATTGTCAATTTATCTCAGTAAACTAAGATTTTGCTAAACTGTCATAATAAATACTTTTAGAAAGTATATTCTTATATGCAAATGACTAATAAAATCAATTTATTAAAAAAAAAACATGATTCTATCACCAAAAATTTTAAAGTTGACCTTAAAATAATTATAATGAAACATTTTAAGATTGTTATCATCATACGTCACCTTTAAAATTGAATGACTAATTTAAAATACTTTTCGAGTGCTTTCCGAAATATTTAATAATTATCCTTAAAATGGGACACCCTATACAGAGTGCAAAATATCGCAAAACTATGGGATTTTTGTGTGTTCTCAATCTGCTCTACGTCTTCACGAGGGGTTGTGAAGATAATTTGGGACACCCTATATAGATACTGTCGAGAATATTTTTGAGGAGGGGATATTTGAATATATGCAATAATTTTCTAAATTCCTAACCTGTTAACACCTTATGGTTATCTTGATCGCATGGGAAATAGATATCTTTATATATAATACAACCATAGATGTTGGGTCTATGCATAATTCCGTAGCGAAATTCCGACAGATGTTCGCAATTGTTTTTCCGCTTGCACGTGTCAAACATATGATGTATCGTAGGTTAAGTAAAAGCTGAAATTTGTGCCGACATTTTAAGAAAGTATTCATCGAGATCCGTGACGTATACGAAGTTTAATTATATTTTGAACATGAAAGAAAAAAACATGTATTTTCGGTGCATTTCGCTTTTTTATTTCCGAAAAGGCAAAAACGCATCGCAAACTCACAAAAGATATGCGCCGTGTACGGAGAGAATGCCGTAAGTGAAAGTGTGTGTCGAAAGTGGTTTGCGAAATTTCGTTGCGAAGATTTTGATCTCCAAGATGCTCCTTGCTCTGGTCGGCCAGTCACTACTGATGTCGATCAAATCAAGGCTTTAATTGACTCCAACCGGCATTTGACGACTACAGAGATCGGATACAACCTCAAAATTGACCAATCAATTGTTTTGAGACATTTACTTGCTTGAGATGGTAAACAAGTTTGATATTTGAGTGCCGCACGAACTAAGCGAAAAGAATTTAATGGAAATTTCAGCTTGAGATTCGCTGCTCAAATGCCATCAAAACAAATCTTTTTTTAAAGCGGATGGTCACTGGCGATCCACTGGCGTGGATTGTCTACAACAATGTTAGTCAAAAAAGATGGTCGAAGCGCGGGGAGGCTGCTCAGACGGTCGCAAAGGCTGGATTACACCCGAAGAAGGTCATGCTCAGTATCTGGTGGGATTGGAAAGGAATTGTCTATTATGAGCTGCTGCTACCCAACAAAACGATTGATTCAACTAAGTACTGCTCACAACTGGCCAAATTAAAGCGAACAATCGATCAGAAGTGGCCCGAATTGGCGAACAGAAAGGGCGTTGTGTTCCACCAAGACAATGCTAGACTACACGTTTCTTTGATGACCTGGCAAAAATTATTGCGGTTTGGGTGGGATGTTTTAGTGCATTCACCGTATAGTCCGGACCTTGCACCTTCAGACTATCACTTATTCCGGGTGCTACAAAATAATTTGAATAACAAAACCTTTAGTTCCCTGGACGTCCTCAAAAACCACTTAGATGACTTTTTTGCCCAAAAATCTCAGGACTTCTATGAAAAAAGGATAATGAAGCTCGTGGAGAGATGGCAGAAAGTTATTGAACAGAATGGAACATATTTAGTTGATTAAAATCGCTTTTTTTGCTCAATATTTTGCGTTTAAAATTTACTCGATTTTTGCTACGGAATTATGCATAGACCCAATAAATACTCTCCGCATTATGCAAATAATAAATTTTCTATCTTGGAAGGATTACCAACATCTTGCTTTGCGTTATATGGTTCTGCGGGATCGCCGTTGCAGCTCCATTAGCGTATTTTAGAAACTATTATGAAAGGCAATGGAAGGACTATCTAGAAACTTATTGTACGGAAGACACTGCTTTGGTCTATCCATATTGGCACATATTCGTAGGTCTCAGCGTCTGGGGACCATTAACAATCATGGTAGTGTGCTATTCTGCAATTCTTGTTAAAGTATGTTATTTTGAAAAAAAAAAAAAAAAAAAACAAGATCTTAAGTTATCCGGATAATGCTGATTTTTTTTTATAGCTAGATCGCTATGAGACGCAAACATTGAAAAGTGAGCAATCCATTGTGGTTCGCTACAAAGGTAGAGTAGCACAGATACTTGCTCTTATGGTTCTGGCGTTTATTGTGTGCCGTGTGCCATTTACGGTATTAATAATTAGACGTGTTCAGTTGCTGCAAGCATCTGTCAAAGCCGGACGTGCTGAGTCTATTTACGTACTATGGTAAGAATCTTGTTATAACTTTTTCACAAATAACTTAATATAATTTATATAATTTATCATAGAAATTATAAAATATAAAATAAGTAGTTATAAGTGAAATATAATAAAATGGAGAATCTTAAGATGAAATAAATATTATAGGTACATAAGTAGATATCTGGTGTTAGTAAACGCCGCGATAAATCCGTTATTGTACGGTTGTAGTAGCACTCGCCTTCGGAGAGAACTTGTGATATGTCCCGCGATATCCTGGTTGATTTGTCAAAGAAAGTGGAAGCTTCAAATGTGCAGTGTTTCGCAATGTAAACTACAACAATGTTCTTTCTATTTAAAATCGCATTCTCCGTGCATTGACATGAACGACAGAGTCATATCTAACATCTCATCAGGAATTACAACTAATAATAGCAACTAAATTTATTCAGTTATTTATTTATACATTTACTAGCTTTGATTAAATTTATGTAATTGTACGCAATCGTTATATTTATATACGTATAGTATAGAAAAGAAATATATGGTTCATAAAAATATAAACAACAGTGTTACAGATTGAAATAATCAAGGAAGCTAGTCCTATGTGTATTTATAATATATTATTTGATCGGAACATTTTTTAGAGTGTCACTTGTTATCTTGCCGCCCATTGCAGTCATTAATAGATTTCCGTTCCAACAAGCTACACCGTCTCCATTCATTGCTAGATCAACCTAAAGACATATATTTTTTGTTTTACTGCGTGATATTTTTTAGTGTTTTCAGTCATACTGATGCATGTACAGTCTGTCAAGTAAGAGCGTGTGCAGCATAACTAGCAGTCGGTAAAAGATATCGTCCTAATTCTTTCGTGAGTGGATAGAGGAAACTTTTGCTCTTCATGCATTGTCAAAAAAGATTCAGTTGACATTGAAGTTTTGTCAGATAAATACGTAAAACACCATGAGTGCTGCGTACGCGTCGCGCTGTGTTCCTCTGTGCCCACCCGAAAGGTACGAAAATGTCTCATGTAGCGGCTGTTAAATACATGGGGAAGTCAAAATCATTCGTGAGATTCAGCGATACAAAGAGACAAAAGCTGTCGACGACTTGCCTGAACGTGGTTCGATAGGCAAAGTGTCCCCTAAAGCCAATAAAATAATAGTGAACTTATTTTCGCGGAATCCTGGCTTAATGACTCCTGCCCACAAAACGCGACAACGCTTGCCGCGCGGCGGAAGTTCGTGCAACAGCCAATCAACATGTTGTTTTTCTGTGAGAGCTACAAGGTTATTACGGAAAGCAGCATATTGATTGGCTGTCGCACAAACTTCCGCCGCGCGGCAAGCATTGTCGCGTTCTGTGTCAGGAGCCATAACACTGCGTCAAGGAGCAGCAAAATTGAAGCAGGTTTAGATATAACATACGAAGCTATCCAAACCCATCTCCATGCTTATGATATCAAATGGCACAATAAAAATCGGTTAGGTAAAAAGTACGTGACGAAGCAACTCGCTTGCGCAAAGGACAATATTGACCGAGATTAGAGCAATGTAATTTTTATGGACGAAGCTTCTGTTTAGGGATATGTTATTGCTCCACGAGCCTAATCAACTTCCAGCAATAGATTGGTACAGCGGCTCCGTTAAACACCCAGTAAAAATGCATCTTTGAGGCTGCTTTTCAAAACTGGGTTTCGGAGCTTTGCATCTGTTTACCTACAATTTGAATGCTCCGAAAATGCTCGAAATATACAAAAAATTTTTATTACCGACTGCCGAACGTTGGTTCATCAAAAATAACGAGAACTAGATCCTGCAGGAGGACAACGATCCCAAACACCGCAGCAAGCTCTGCACCGAGTGGAAGGAGCAGTCTGGCATCTTTACACTTGATTCGCCGTCGCAGTCGCCCGACGAAAACCCATGTTGATGGGTACATCAAGCACAAGCTTCGTGGGAGAAAAGTATTCACTTTGAAGCAGTTAACTCGAGAAATTCGTCGCATTTGGAGGTCCTTACCGCATGAATACGCCGTCAACTTGATCGAAAGCGTGCCTCAAAGATACCAGGTAATTATCGACGTCGATGGTGACTAGACGCATTATTAATATAATTGCATCTTTGTTCGATCGAGTACAAAGTATCCATATATTTGAAAATTGTATTAAATAATTTTTTCTACAAATTAATCCGCACACGCTCTTACTTGACAGACTGTATATAAAAAAAAAGAACTCAACAATATATCAAATAATCAATTCCATACATACTTGTAGTTTTTCCCATACTTTCTTTTTTGGATTGAGCACATCGTCTGCAATCCCATCTTCATATCCCTCGATAATAATTTTATCACCAGGTACGCTATCTTGTGGAGGTCTTAAAGGCTCTACTTGCTTGATTGGTTCATCACTGTAAAAAATATAATACCGAATTACTAGTAATTATTAAGACTAAAATGAACAGATTTCTGATTCCAAAACCACTTTATAAATGTGTGGAGTTGGGGGGAGGGCAGGTGAAATTGTTGAAAATTATATATACAGAATGTCTGACGCAAAACAAAACGTATACAAAACCATGTGTGAAGATAAAACACATCAACCTAAATATGAGAACCTCTAACATTTTACAAACAAAATTTCGAGATACTAATGGAAAAAGATTAACGAATCAAAGCGCGCGATGTTATGGGACGGATTCCATAAGTGCAAAATTTCATTGAAAATGGCTGAAACGCGATTGTCTCTTAACGTAGATGGATATCGGATGATAGCTGAAGGCGGAATAAGGATACCAGCGGAGCAAAGACAATTTTTTTCGATATATCGTGAACGTGTCATACATATGTCGTTAAAAAACAGTCGTGTTTTAGCCATTTTCGATAAAATATCGCGCTAACAAAACTCGTTCTATAACGTTCCATATTCTGATTTGATTCAATCTTTTTTCTTTAATATTTCAAAACTTTATAGTTAATTTTCCAGTGGTTGTTTACAAAATGCCAAGGATCCTCGGGCTCAGATTGACGTGCTCTATCTTCATATGTAATTTGTATGTTAAACATACTCTGTATATATAGGGGGTCCCAGACTCTCCTCCGCATATTGTGGGAATGTAGAACGGGTTCAGGTAAACATAAATGTCCTATACCGTTTTAAGATATTCGCAATAATAACCGAGAAATTAATTGTAAAAGATTAAGGAAAAACGCACACTGAATGGTTGAGGCAGGAGCGCTCGCAATCCAGTAATATAGCAGTCATCGGCTTATATCGCTATGATCCTACGTCTTGCCGCACCAAGTTGAGATGTAAGAGCGCAGCGATATAAATATAAAAAATTATTTTTCCAATCACTGCGCGCCGACACCTGTGCGTTATATTATTAGGCCGCGAGAGCTCCACCCTCAAGCATTCACCGTGCATTTTTCCTTAATTTTTTACAATTTCTTTCAAACTTTTTTGTTTACCTCAACCCATTCTATATTCCCACAAAATATGCGGAGGAGAGTTTAAGACACCCTGTATAATATATTTCTGTGAAAGTGAGCAATCTGTCAGGGACGTATAGATTAGATGAAAATAACACCATCAGTTTTTATAAATTATTTTCTTACAGTACATCTTTGCTGACATATTCACATTTGAAGTTAGAGCCCAAAAAGTATTTTCCAAAAATATCTTTTATATTACTTATTAAATTTTAATAATTTTTATATAATTTTTAAATATTAAGCAAAGATCGTTAAAATTTTTTATACATTTTTTATATATTATATTAGGGAACCGAAAACTAGACCACTCGTAAATTTTTTAATCCTCAAACTATTAAATAAATAGGATTCTTAAATTTTTGGACTTTCTTAGATTTCTTAAATGTTTAAAAAAAAAATGTTCTTGTACGATTTCGAAAAGAGCAACCTGGGAGAAAAAGATTATATATAATAATGTATAAATATATATGATTATATGATTATATATTAAATTTGGCAGTTTATATAAAATTATACAGGATGTCACACTATCCTTCTCATATTAAGTGGGAATGTAAAACGGGTTGAGGTAAACATAAAAGTCCTATATCGTTTTGCGATATTTACAATTGTGACGTGGCAGCGGTGCAGCTGCACGTCACAAGAGGATTAGGTTATAAAATTAAGAAATTAGATCGATTTCTTAGTGTTTGCTTGGGCTAAGCCGCGAGAAATTCGTGCGAATGTTTATGTTTCCGAGAGCGGTGTATTTACGTATCATACCATTGGCGTAGCTATCGGAAACATTCGGATTTTCGCGTTAGATTGGCGATTCGCATATCCCGAATAGCTGTGTCCTCGAGGCTCCCGAAGTTGACAACAGGCCGAGGCTGAGGAGATAGGGAGACGCAGCGTGAAACAAGAGTGCTCTCACTCTGGGAGACCCCACAGAGAACCAGGGTGAGTCCTTACCGCTCAAGTATTGGCGACAGTAACGAATATCGTGTCGTTCCGAACTTGGATGCCGCCGACCTTATATTCGTTTTCTGATGCTTTGTAGCACACCAGCTACGGAACAACAACACTCCAGCCTTGGAACAAAGAGGGAACGAAGCAAAGAAAAACAATTGGCCCGACAAGAAACGTTCGTATCAAAAACTAACGGAAAGATCGGTGGTATTCCAAAACAAAAGGGTACCGGAGAGGTCCAGGAGAGGGCAGCCTTATCTAGAGGTATCCGAGCCCTGACAAGGCACTCCTTCTCGTATTACTATCGCATAAGTTGTGTGTTCTGAACACCACGCTATCGGGTGAAACTGACCAACGAGTGAGTGGATGAGAGCAAGAGAAAGAGCGACAAAAGAGCGGCCCTTAGTCAGACAGGAACTGATCGGAGAACTCCAGGCCAGCAGCGGAGCCATCGATATTGTAAGAACGCCAATCCGTGTCTTGTCGCAATGCCGGTTGAAGCAGTCTGTGATTAGAATAGCATTGGTGACAGATGAGGATGAGCTGCCGCGTTCGGGGGTTGTGCACCGGGGCATCGCTCGCATTTTGGTAGCCGCGACCCCAGGCCCGCAAAATTTGGTACAGGTGCGAACCAATCGGCTTCGACCCTCTTTTGCGTTGCGTAGCGATTGTCTGGCTGGGCCCGAACCAAAGTGTCGGAGCGGATGACCTATCCTCATTCGCGCTAATTAGAGAAAATGGTTCTCGACCCGGTAACCGCTCTTCGTTTTGTGAAAGATTGTCAAAAGAGAATTAGTGCGAAATTAGCGTGTCATACGATCGTTAGTGACCGGAAGGAGTCCGGTTATAAGTGAGACGATTGTTACTATTAACGCGCAGTCGCGATCCGAGCTGCGTGAGCTTTCGTGATTGGTCCGTGTCGTATCGGATCAACTTATCGATATTCTCTAATGTAAAATCAGATCATGCATACATTACAATAAACCATCATTGTTAAAAGTTACACTTTTCGTACGCTACCCGTTTGAAAAACCTATCGTATCTTAGAATGTTTTTCCCGAACCTGACTCACTCCAATCTCCGACTTAAATCATAAATGAGCTACCGGACCCGTACCGACCTTGTTCCGCGATCTTTTAAGTTGGAGTATCATTTAGTCACAATTATTCGATAAGGTGGCGCGGCCTGCTCCGCATCTGGCGCCCAACATTTTGAGTTTCGCGAGCGGAACATGGGAAGGCGGTATTTTGCGGGAAGTGGAAGAAAATTACGTCGCACAATAATAACTGAGAAATTAATTGTAAAAGATTAAGGAGAAACGCACGCCGAATGATTTAAGGAGGAGCACTTATGACCCAGTAATATAGCAGGCAGATGTCAGTGCGCGTCTTATATCGCTTTGATCCTATGTCTTGCCGCACCGCGCCGAGGCGAAAAGTAGGAGTATAGCGATATACCAGATATATAAATATGAAACCGGAATTTTTGTATAGAAAATACACGTTTATTGTATGAAAATGATAAAAAATATTTTATTCGAAGTATTGCCCATCGCTAGCTATACATTTCTCCCACCTGTCTGACA